GCGAGGCGAAAAGGAATTCGGAGCAGAAAAGATTATATATTGTGAGAGAGAAAAAAAAATCACCGCCCACTGAGTTTTCTGTTTTCCCGATCAATGAGCACGTCAAAGCAAAAGGGGTGTTGTTGACATATCGGTATGCCTAGAAAAATTCTTGGAGCTAGGATTAGCATAAATTTGGAGCCGTTGTGACAATAATAACGCGACGGATGGCTCTTTTTCTTTCGTCACTTGGCACGCTGACGCCGAAAGGCGGGCTTTGCTGCTGATTTAAAAGGTCCTAATGCAAGCGCAGTTAATCCTGATAAGAGCAGCAAAGCGCGCGCGGACAAAGGCCACACGACTGCTCAATAAATAAAATGATTTGCACAAATGGACCACACAGCACGGCTTTTGTGGAAAGTCGCACGCACACAACGTATATACGCGCTTAAGTGCTCCTTTATCAGCTGCTGAAATGCCTCAGGTGGGTTTTTATTGGGCGCGCATGGCAGTTACCAAAATCTGTCGAAAAGCTGCCGGAAAATGTGGATGGACAAACGAGGGGGCGAAATGAAAAAGTCACAAAACATCTAAAAGTGTCAACCGCAACAAAATATCAGTTCTAAACGACCGCTTTTTCATATAAATATGTATTCTTACAATTTATGATTCAAGTTTTAAATTAAATAAGAAAAGTAAAAATTTAATAAAATAACTTATTTGCTAACTTTTTGATATGATGCAAATTTAAAAGTATGCGTTTTTTTTAATAAAATAATATTAATTTAAAAAAATTATTTTTTTTTTAATTTTGCTGCAGTATATAATTTTTTAATATTTCCAAATTATAAGATAAAGATTTCAATTTGCCTACAAATTTATTATACTACAAACTTTTTATCAACAAAACCTAATTATTTTTAATAAATATGATCACTAAATTTGAGAAGAACTTGCTATGCAAGCGTCAATCAACAGATAAATTTTCCTAGCTCTTTTCCTTTGATTATGATTTGAAAATTAATGGATTCACTGGATTCACCAATGTCAATATTAAATGATGTGTTTCAAATACTTGAAAGCATAATATAATTTTCTATAATGTTCTGTTACTTGCAAAAACTTTCAGCATAAACAAATAAAAATACAAAAGGCCAAGTTGAGAATTGCCAAATAATATGTGGGCGTCCCCAATGCTTGAGCAAAAATCATGAGCTCCCGAGCGTGACTTTCTAGATTTTGGCGATGTTTGCCGCAAAATTGCTGCGCATTAGCGAGTAAATCTCCAAAGATTTCGGGCGGCAAGTTCACAGAGAGAGACTGATTGAGTTGCCGCGTGCTCGATGATCTCGCAATTATCGCTAAATAAACTCATCGCGCGGCGGCGGCGAGCAATAAAATTGGCCGCCGCACAAAAAAACAAATGCACGCATCGCAGAGGCACGTTTGCGCTGCTGCGTCCGACTACAGCACGTTTCTATAGGACAGCGGCCATAAAAAGAGCGGTGGAATTTGCCGAGAAGTAAACTTTTCTCGCGGCGCTTATTATCACCTGGAGAGAGACGAGTAGGAAAATGAAGGCAGCGCGCATTGTGTCACGTGTGTGTGTGTGCGCTCGGTCGAGCTGTAGTCGGTCGAGCCGAGAGAGCGATTGTCAGCTTTTTGCTGCTCATTTACATAAGTAAATACGGCAGCTCGCAAGTGCGGCGGATTCCTGGAGAGCAGCTCGCCGCCGCTAATATTAAAACTAACGCGATTCAGCGGCGCCGTGTGCGCTTTAAACTGCCGTCGCCGTTGTTTGCAGAGAGGGGGCCGCGTCGCGTTCATTCTTAAAACTGAAGAGATTTCCTCCTCGAGTTGCCTTTAATGAAACTGGCGAGTTAAAAGAAAGAACGTTTATTTCTCCACAGAGAAGAAAAATCGTCGTGTGTCCAGCGGGTTGCATAACGCCGAATCTGTCAGACGGACGCTGCTGAGCGTGGAAAAGAATTCGTTCGGAATTCCCAGATACGCGCTGAACTTGAATGTTTTTTTGCACAACTTCGAGATTCGCTTGTTTGCCATGATAAGCACTCGGAATGCTTGGAGCAGATATTGCAGCACGTGCTGCTCGTCAACTTTTTTCTCGGAAGCTCAAGTACTTTAATTATTGTGCTAATTTTTTAGAAAAGCGTTCCGAAATTGCAAACAAAAATTTTGAAGATAACCGCACTTTTTAAAGAGAAATCTGATCGCATTGTTCCCGTTGTGACGTGTCAAAATAATGTACTATTTGCTAGGCAGCTCCGAGAGAATGTGTTAAATAAAATTTGTTTAGCAACTTGCTCTTCAAAAAATGTAAATACACCTTGAGACGCAGCGAGCTGGGGCATAAGAATGAGAGAGCGCTGTTTCCCAATAGCTATACGCGCGCATTATTACTCGCGTTTATATTGTTTTCAAACAGACACACACAAAGAGCCGCATAAAAGCTCAATGCTTATAATACATACACTGCTTAGGAATTTCGGCCTTCACCAGAGCGTGTGCTATATTTCTCGCAACTCTTGTGCTCAATAATTCTCTTATCGTATCGCATAGGCGATCGAGAGTTAAGGGGAAAAAACTTGTACACGGTCATTGTGATCGCACTTCATCCTCAAATAATAATTTTATACATTTTGGAATGTTTCTTGATATCATTTCCCAAAAATAAAACAAGCTCTACGGAAAAAATTTCAAATAAAAATCCAAATTATTTTTAAATCAATGTGCAAAATAAAAGAAGACTTTAGTCCGATAATCAGAATTTTTTGCATTTTTAATGCCAAATAGTTTTTATAATTTTTCAGTTTGTTTCTTTATTTCAATTTAATAAAAATAAAAAATAAACTAAATAGAATAATAATAAAAAAGGGGTACAATTAAAAAAGTAGCATAGATCTGCTAAAACGCACGTCATCAAGGAAGAAGCGGAACAAAACCGACAGCACTATTATTCAAAATACAAGACACAATATAATTATTATGTGTTTTTAAAATTATTTGTTTCTTTGTTAAAAGTTACAAATTTAAACAAATCGTATTCCCTCGTCTCCTTAATTGCATTTTTGTGTAGAAAACAAATTAAGCTGGCTCGAATAAATTTTTCTATTTTTTTGCGCTTGTGTACATTGAAAGTAAATTCTTGAGGTACAGTTTAAAGTAAGAGCCACATTGTAATGTGAACACAAACATTTGATTACAATATATCACGCTCGCAGAGACGCAAACACCTCGGCAAATATGAACAAGGATGCGCGCATAGTAATAAAACGGTGCTTCAATTTGTTTGGTCGGAGATTTATCCGGCAAAGCTATTTTTATTGTCGCTGCATAGTGTGTGCGAAAAGTGGTGGAGGGAATATTTTATGTCAAAAAGGTTATATGATTATGGCCAACAGGAGAGAGACGAGGATAAAATAAGCACTCGCTAAAATGCCTCGAGTTTACTCTTTAATTTATGCTGAAAAGTATATAAAATATTATTATTCGTTTGCGCACTTCGGCAAACAGTCTGCGAGAGGCGAAAAATTTTCTATATTGGGAATGAAAGAGCTCCGTGTCGCCGAATGCTTATTGACAATTTGAATTTTAAATGTTTTCAAACAAAAATCAAGCAACCGACGTCACAATTACTACACACATTTGGGCGTAACTGCGCAAAACAGAAAAAGGTGCACTTGAGAGAGAAGACAATGGCCGAGTGTCTGTCGCTACTTAAAAAGTGCCAATTCATAATTTAATCTTTCATGTGTGTATCTTTACTATATTATTTCTGCTCGCAGCAACGTGCAGACCGCGTGAAAATTTTATTTAAATGCCCGCGGAAAATTCGCGTGTGCCTTCGGAGGCGCATGGGTGGTGCTTTGCGTCACATTCAAGTGTTTGTTTACTAAATTTAGCACCGCTCCAGTGGTTATCTTTCTCATTTCGCGCTTTGAAAACCGTCGCTCGTCTTGTAGCGCTGTCAATAGTGATCACTTGTCATGTTGCGCGGGCGGTCGCCGATCGGTTCTGGCACCGGATTAAAATCGCGCGCCAAACCAGATCGCCCTTTTCGGTTATAATACGGCATGAAATTTGATTAAAACATCAAACTTCGTTAGAGAACGGCCCCTGCCTCGCCGGACGACACGCACAAGACGTTCGTTCGTCTCAAGCCAAACCGCAGCGAGGCCCCGCTCGCTCCGCTACTCTTATGCAACGCGCCACACTCTTTCCTTTCTGATTTCACTTCACTCAAATAATGGCCAAATTCAAATCGGCGGCCTTGACTGAACATGTCAAAATCGATTGTGTGTCTTATCATCTCCGTTTTTACAGACAAAAAATTATTATTGAGGTACGAGTTCTGGACAGAAACGAGTAAATCGACAAATCTGCTGCTTGAATTTTAATTTTCTTCTATAAAATACTGCAAAAATGTGTCCAACGAGCCAAAATCTTTTATCAATAGAGAAAAGTTGGTCATGGTCACCTCTTTGAAAACCATTTCTTTTGAGTTTAGATTTTTGTGTTTGCGAGCAAAATTTAAAACTATTTCTTTCAAAGGTTCTTTTATGAAAGTTAGTTGCTATTTATTCAATCTTATTTATTAAAAAAAAAAAAAAAAAAATGCAATTTTCAATTATTTTTCATTATTTCAGCAGTACAAATGGATACTTTGTCGCTTGGTTTCTCCTTTTATAGAAACATATTAGAATTGCTTTTATGTTATTACAACAAAAATTATACTAAATCTAAGTATATCATATAAAAGTTTTGTCCGACAAATTAAATTCTAGAGTAATAAATTTTCTCCACGTTGGTTAGTTTTTTTTATGTATAATGTTTTTTTTCCGAATAGCACAATCTTAATCGATTATTTTTTATTCCCCAACGTCTCAAGAGAAAAATTAATTGAAAAAAGAAATGAATTGGTCCGGTCGGCGCAGCGCGAGGGCCGTCGGGTATGATCCTTGGCCGCTGGCCTGCGGCCGGCAGACCGGCCGGTGGCTCACCTTGGTATGATGGACATGTGGTGCTACGCAGCGGTGTCATTTAGGCCAAATCGGACAGCGGCGGCGCTCGACATGCAGCGTTGTTGGTGAGTCCAAAATTCGAATTGCCGATGCACTTGCGGGCATGCCCTCGCGGGACACGTTATCCCAGCGGCAACAATGGCAGCAACAATGAAGAGGCACCCATCACACTGATCAAAACTTGATCCGACCGACGACGAGCGAGAGCGATATCACTGGTTCAGACTGTTGCTGAAGAAGACTGAGGCGCGCGGCGCGGGGCCTCCGTCGGTCGGATCGGGGCAGCCGCCGCCGCTCTCAGGAGTCGCACCACGTGACCGCGCGCCGCTCCAATCAAACTAACGCACCTGCCGATGCGTCTAGATTAGATAACCGCGCGCGGCCAGAGATGCGCGCCCCGTGCGCGATTAGCCACCGCAGAGACGGCAAGAGCGACTGACCCCTCACTAAACACCCTCGTAAAAATGCGCTCATTACTTTTTAACGGCCATTCTCCTCACCAGGGGCTGCTCCTTGGATAAAATTACGGCGAAATAATAATGCAGTTCAAAGTGCTTCGAGTAGTTAAAAAGTCTCTAAATTATTTCTGACTTTAACACCCGAAATAAACGTCACGGCTTCATAAACAGTACGGATGAAGTGTATGTTTCTGGATAATGATATCAAAACCGCCAAGTTGCTGATTGACATAACAATTGGCCGGACTTCTCGGAATTCTCTTGAAATTGGTTTATTGTGAAAAAAAGAGGTCGGTCGTCAGCGCAGCTTTTGTCTGTTGTATTACTTCTTATCAAGACTTGTTTTGACAAGGATTTGAACTATTTTTTCTTCCCATCTTATCTCCCCTCTCTATCGTTACACTTTTTATGAACATCTTATTAAAGTAATTGATTCCTTGGCCCGTCCTCCGACAAACTCCATTTGGCACGTAATCTTTTAATTTGTCAACCAACATGTCAAGGATCGGTGTGTGCTGTAAATAATAATGGCTGATTCTCTAACTGTATAATTTTGGCACATTCAGGCCGTCACTTAGTCTACGGTCTAATCTCAAAAGTTGTTATCATTTTTGTAGTATTTTGCACACAAGCAGGAAGACATTCAAAAAAAGAAAAGCAGTTTATTTGAACTTACATTTAATTATTTCATTTTTAAACCTTTTTTTGTAAAAAGTTTGAAGTTTAGAATCAGGTCCACAAAAATTACTTCACTGAAGCACTTGGTACTTGCGCCAAGGGCTTCCATTTCTGCGAGGCCTTTCGTCCCTTCGGTCTGGCTCCGGCTGCTGCTCTCGGCGCCGAGACAAATTTCCTCCTTCATATTGCGACCTTGAAGAAAAAAAAAATGTAAAACTTTGCACGGATGCTTTTTCTCCTTTTTCACCTGTTATCAGGTCTCCTGTGGTCCCTGCCCCAGTCCTGCTGGGGCCTTGGTCTGAATTCTCTGCTTGGGTAGGGTGGTCGTCTGCTGTCCCTTCCACCACGCCTACCCGCGTCCCTTTGCCCTCTCCTGTTGTCAGGGGGGCCGTGGTCTCTGCTGTAAGGGTGGACACGCTCGCTCCTGATATTTGGCCTGTGATTTCTGCGGTCTGCTGGAGGTCTTTGTCGGTCCGGCGGTGGCCTCTGGTCTCGAGAGCCCCTCTGCCTGCTTTGCTGCTGCTGCGGTTGCTCTCTGATTTGACTGTAGTTTCTCTCCAGACGCCTATCTTCCGGCTCTTGTCCTAGTAAAGTCTTCAAATCCTCCTCAGGTACCTTTAAAGCCTTGAAATATTCCTTCCTCTCCATTTGGTGACCTCTACTTTCATTAAAAACTAAAATAACAAATAAATTAATAAATATTTTAGTTGAAATATTTTGCATATTTGATAGTTTTGCAGGTAGGTTAAGTGCATTCTAGATCGGCGTGCGTTTTTTGGCCCTAATGATCTTTTAATTGCGTCTGCAGTTTATCTAGTCACTGATAAATCGTCCAAATTCAATTAAGCCGGGCCCGTGTTTATTTAGTTAATAAATTTACTTTAGCCAGCAGCAGCAGCACAAGAGAAATGAGTTTTATATTGGCCAGTAGGTGTTGTGAGAAAAAATATTTGGAGGCCAAACATCTGCCTCTTGAAGAGGAGGCACCCCTGCCTCTCATGCAGGCAGAGGGAAACGTTTGAAATGCGCGACTCACTACTCACCTCGAACCGCCTGCTCGGGGCTGAATCCCATCCTGCTGACCAAGTACCTGGCAAACAAACAAGAACTCGTAGTGAATCACATTCGAAATTGCCTCCCTCGGCTGCACCGACTTGCAAATGAGGAATCCAGTCCTGTTGACGCCGTGGGTGCAGTGAACGCCGATCAAGCCCTCTGCGAATAAAACAGAAAAGGGCCATTCTTTAGTATTTGTATATTCGGTGCGCGCCATGCTGCAAAGGAGCAGACACGAAGAGATTTCTCATTTACCTTTGGGGGAGCGCAGGAAGGAGTCGACGGCGTCAAAGAAGCTGAAACAGAGAGAAAGAGAGTGGAATTCGGTGTGTTGACTCTTAATGGAGAGGGCCTAAGTCAACAGGCCGAATCATAAAAAACCGGATAGCGAGTGATTGACGTGTGCAGTCGAGAGGCAGACACAATCGGCCCGATTGAAAAAAAAATGAGCGCGCTTGCACGGATGCTGGGAAGTGCGCATAGGGAAATTTGATCAAAGAGAGAATGAAACGCGGTTTTTACACTCACGGTTGTTTAAATGAATTAGCATAAAATATTTCAAAATATGTATAATGGTCATTTAAAAAAAGACAATTTTCAGCACCACTTTATTTCCTGTTGATTTTTTCCCTCCAAATAAACTGATCAAAAAATCCATCAGGGCTTGAAATATTATAACTTATTAGACGATGGATTTCCCTCCCTCTTATTGTTATTATAAATCACGAGGCTGATACATTATTTTCTAGGTGCTGGCCCGAAATGGCAAACCACCCCCGAGGGAGGGGGTCGGCGAAAGAGCACTTACGTGTTGACCACTCCGGCGGGCGGCACCTGTTGGCCGGGGCACATCACTTTCACGTGGCTCACTCCACTCAGCTCCTGCAAAAACCACCCTTAATATGGTTATACGGCGGACGGAGAGTGCTCTCGGGGTGGTCTGATGGACCCAATTTGCTCCCCGAAACGCCCACTCCCAAATTATACCCTTGCTGCTTCAAAGAGCGAGACGCGCGCATTTTGAGGATTTGATTTGCTGCTGAAAAGGTGGTTTTCTTCTCAAAAAAATAATATATACGTTCACAAATACAAGAAAAGCAGCAAGGGCGAGACAGCGTTTTTGTGATACTTAGAAATTCCTAAAAATAATCAGGGGGTTGGAAGAGGCATGTATAAATCACATATCTTTATTTCATATAAAAATTCTCTAAGAGAAAATCAAAGAATGACTTTTTTTAAAATTATTGTGACACAAACTAATTTAAGAGAAAAATAGGAGATTTAAGAAGTAATTTTAATACATTTATAAATTTAATAAAAAATTGATTAAAACAATCAAAGTTAAATTAAAAAAAAGAGCTGTTAAAAATTATACATCTCCTTTCATCACCGTTATGTGAATTTTGAGTCTATAAATAAATATAGATGGAATGAGGATAATGACCTGCGGAGCGTAGTATCTGCTGGTGTTGGTTAGGTCGATCAGCATGGCCACCGAAGGCAACTCAGACAAAAATATCTCGGGGGTGAACCTGTCGAGCAATCAGATAAATAATTAATGGCGGGGGCGGGTCTCGGATATTGAAAAAAGAAGCGCCTTTGTTGTTTCCAATTGAAATCTGCGGCGGCGGCTTTTTTTTGGTTATATTGGAATTTCCAAGCGCTTCTGAGCAGATGGAAACGTTTGATAACGGACTCCTTTCCTCGAATGGAATGAAAAAAAATTTGCATCGTTATTGCCTTCCTCGGCCCCGTACGAAATACCAAGAGGAGAAAATAAGAGGCGCGAGTTGAGATTTTATCAGACACTCATCACTCTGCCGATGGTTTTGAAATATCGCTCCTTTCTTCACTCTCGGCCCTCCTCTCAATCCGAATTTACTTTTCGTTTCACGCGCACTTTGGAGGCTTAATCAAAATTTTATGGCTTCTTGTGTGATTGGAGTTCTGTGTTTTTTTGTTTTGTGATCTTATTAGGAAACGGCGTGTTTTATGGCCCGCTGCATATACGGAGCCTGAAATTTCCATAAGTTTTATTTTACGCCCGGCGCTGGAAACGAATGCAACTGCGAGATTTGTGCACTTGGATCAATAATAAAAGACGGAATCAATAAAAAAGGTGGGGTGCTCTCTAGACTGAGCTGCTGCAGATGGCCCAGAAACATAATTATTTTTCCCTTTCTCACGTTGAGAAATTTCTCGACAAAAATGAATAAAATATCAACAGAACCGCTGGTTTAAATATTTGCGGTTTCCTCACCTGAGATCCTCTGGGAGATTGGCACAGATCGTCTGAAAAAAAAAATGAAACATGAGAAGAGTCAATAACAAAATTGAGACGTTGAATAAAAAAAAACCGGATCAAAATATTTCACTAAAATATCAGTTTAAAAAAAGTGCAATTGAGATGGTTTGCAAAAAATCTGACCGGGCAGTGATGCATCACGCTCCGGTGGCGCATCTCCCATCGAGCACTTGACCCGTGACCGCGGGTCAACTGACCCTTGGTGTGCGGTCCAACAAGTTGCAAATCCGCCTCCAGCCGCCGAGAGAGCAAATTCCGTTTGCTCTCTCTTGAGCGGCGCAAAATTTACGTTCTCCGGCGAGCAAATTATGCCAAAACGATGGCGCCCTTTCTCGCGCAGGTACCACAGGTCAAAGGTCCAAATGCAAAAAGCTACCTCGCCTCTTCCTTTTGTTTCAGAGCAAATAAAAAGTGTGCCTGAACTTTGCTGAGATGTAAGTCAGATTTTTCCAAGGCCATAATAGAAATAATTATATTAGAGTAAATTTTTACAAGAAAATTTATGAAGAGAATTTAACATAAAATTATGATATTTCTTTTTTCAATTATAAAAATGCAAAGTTTTTAATAAATAAAAGCTCTGAATATCGATTTCGATTATTGAAATTTTTTAAATTGAAATTTGTAAAAATAAGTAAAAATTTTAATAAAAAATTAAAATGAATTGAATATTTTGATTTTTCAATTGCATCATTTGTGCTGATGATAAAACTTTCTTTAATTACCAATTTGTAATTTTAATAAATCATTGTGATTTCCACACATAAATGGAGAACGCAATTGAAGACGCAATTATGTTAATGCACGACGAGCATACTTTCATCCCGGCAATGACAATGAATACCCATCGCCTGCTTAATTAACCGGCACTTAATAAATAAATTTTTCGCAGACAATGCCTTTAAACGCTGCGGCGCCACAGGAGAAAGGGTGTTGATGCCGCGCGCACACGTCGTTGGCGCTTTTAATTTAATGTGCTATTATAACGAGCTTGGCAGGGAGGCGCCGAGAGATTAATCGGCCGCATTTATTTTGAAATTTTTCCTCATGTGTGCGAATCTCTCTCGCAGGAAAAAAGGATAATCGTTCTCGGCGGCGGCAATTTTGGCCAATTAAGCCCCGCACGCGGCGGCACTCGTTTCGCAAAAACTATTAACTTCTGCGCCTAAATCGGAGCGGGAAGTTAATTTTGATTGATGAAAATCAATTAGCGCTGTTAGTTTTGATTAGATTTATGTGTGATAGTTAATTAATAAAAAATAAAATAAAATTTTGCAAATTTAAAAAAAAAAACAGGTTAAAAAGGTCTAAGGTGAAAAAAGCTTCACCGCTTATTTATTTCATTTTTCTAACTTCATTGTGGTGACATTGACGAGATTAAGTTAATCAATTTTAATTAGTCTAATTTAAAGAGACAGAGAAATAGTTCTGAAAATTCTCATATAACTTATTAATTTTCAAAAATTCAACACTCAATAAAATAAATTTTTATTTATTTTTATTATTGTCTCCTTTTGGCATTAACATCTACAAACCAATGCTATAACGTTTAAAAAAATATCATTAAAATTAATCAGGCAGTTTTTTTAGCAGAAACTTAATTGTTAAAGCAATATGAATTTTAAAACTATACTATGAAATATATTTATTACTAATTTATATTTTAATGTATAGTAATATTTATACAGCATTTATATAATAATTATTATTCTAAGTAGACAAAACCTTTCCACATTCTGAATGAACTTACTTTAATAGCTTGTAATATTTCTCCAAACATTTTCAAGTGTTTAAAATTTTGCATAAATCTTCATCTTTGCGAAGGGCATACAATTTCTGTCATCATAAAATTCATTACAATCGTCAACAAGTGCTGCAATAAATATGAATTGGATTCATTAAATTGGTGGGCGCACGATATTAAATTAATTATTATTATCATGAAGAAAACAGTCAGCATTCACCTCTGTCGAAAATTGCAAAAAAAAAAAATGCCAGCATAGAGACGCCTCGTATTACTGTGCATAAAGTGTGGAATACATGCATATAAATTACTACCGGGTTGGCTGTCAGTGCATAAAATGCAAGAAAAAAACGAAATACCTTGGCTTTGAGGATCTCAAAGCGCCAAAGTAAAATTAGCAAAAGGCAGACTGACCCGTGGCTCACTGGCATTATTTATTTTTCCATCGCGTATTTATTGTCACGTAATTTGTCACCAATTAATGCACTCTGCAAGAAAAATTGCTATTTATAATTGGCAATTAAAAAGCAGTAAAAAGATTATAATGAATATTTATGTCTTTAAAATTTGGAACACTCTGCCATTGTTGAACAATCTGTAATTAATTTGATTTCTAGTTCAAAGAAGTTAAAGAAAACCGCAGAATTCACTCACATTTAACGCGCACTAAGCTTTAGCAAACAAACGTCTTGTTATGACTTTATTTTACAAGGGAGCAATATTTCAGCACCAGTAAAATAGGGTGTATTTTTAAATAATTTTTTTTCCAAATAAATCAGATTAAAGTGAGAAATAAAAAAATATTTCTGTGGGCAAATCCCAGCCAATCGCCAAAAAAAACGACGCATAAAAAAAGGAATAATTATAAAATAATTAAGAAAAAGATTTGTCTTCTGTTTAAAATTTCCTAACTAAATGTTCCAATTCAGAAAGGAGAGAAATTTGGCGTGCAAAAGTATACCCATAAATATACTATTAAAGCAACAGTTGTTGTTTTGTTCAAACACAAGTCATGGATTTCGGGCTAACACGGCGATTAATTTGAAATATCAACACAGCGCCGCGAGCCAGCCGCGAGAGTTTGATCAGAGCCGATGCATTAGAGATTGCTCAGCACATGAACAAGAGGGAAAAAATGATGAATGCGGCGGCAAACAAATGATAAAATAATTGAGGCTGGGCGCGCGCGAGTGGGAGGATTGCTGGGATTCGGCGGGCGCGCGTGGGCCGCGGCGGCGGCGGCCGAGAGGCCGAGCATGTGGTCGGGCAGGCGCCGGCCGTGCGGTTTCCAATTAATCGCGGCCGGCTCGACACCCAGCAACATAAATTGCGCGCCCCGGCCGACCTTACAAGCTCAATATTAAAAAATGGCCAAATAAATTCTGCGGCCAACACGACGTGCGTTCGCGACGATACTTTGAGCGAGATACACACGCGGCGTGCAAAAATAAAAATTTAAAACTGGCCCCTTTTGCGTTCTTTCCCAGCACGTACGCATTTGCGAATTTCCGGCGTATGAATTTTTGAGATGCGATAAAAGTGCCGATAACGATCGCGCTTTTCATAATTCGCTGAGGCTGCTTCTGCGATTTTTTTCTACCACGCTTCCCATGCGGCGCTGGACCGTTTCGCTCTGGATTCTCTAAATTTCAGGCTAATCTTCACTGCCTTATCAGATAACACGAACGAGTTCTGTTGGTTCTGCGCTTAGGAATTAACAGACAATTCCACAACAACAAAAACAACTAAGAGAGGCTGTTTCCTTAGACTTTTTAGCAACAATTTTTATATAAACTTGGATATTTTTAATCCCTAAGACATTTATAGATCAATTGATAATGTTTGCAATTTTCCGTATCAATCAAATATAACTTCTGAGGTCGGCAGGAATGATAATAATCACAACTTGGTAACAAAAAACTCAGTCTTATAAATGAGATAAAAATCAATTTACAAAGTTATAGTAAAATGCAATTATCATTTATTGAGCTACAATTCAAAAGTGAAGAAGTCATCACTAGAGGAGACGCTCAAAGAAGTGAAGAAGAAAAGTTAAAAATAAATACCAATTCAAAGCAAACTTCAGTGTATTTGTCTTTGTCTATATAGGAAAACCCCGTTATTATTCTTCCATCTCTATTCCAAAACGTGTGACTGTCGCGCCCACGGACTATTAGAACTATTTAAACGAAGTTGAAACAGGGAAATGAAAAACTCATATTGCAAAATTATCGATTATTCCTCCACCTCTATTCCAAAACGTGTGACTGTCGCGCCCACGGACTATTAGAACTATTTAAACGAAGTTGAAACAGGAAAATGAAAAACTCATATTGCAAAATTATCGATTATTCCTCCACCTCTATTCCAAAACGTGTGACTGTCGCGCCCACGGACTATTAGAACTATTTAAACGAAGTTGAAACAGGAAAATGAAAAACTCATATTGCAAAATTATCGATTATTCCTCCACCTCTATTCCAAAACGTGTGACTGTCGCGCCCACGGACTATTAGAACTATTTAAACGTAGTTGAAACAGGAAAATGAAAAACTCATATTGCAAAATTATCGATTATTCCTCCACCTCTATTCCAAAACGTGTGACTGTCGCGCCCACGGACTATTAGAACTATTTAAACGTAGTTGAAACAGGAAAATGAAAAACTCATATTGCAAAATTATCGATTATTCCTCCACCTCTATTCCAAAACGTGTGACTGTCGCGCCCACGGACTATTAGAACTATTTAAACGTAGTTGAAACAGGAAATTGAAAAACTCATATTGCAAAATTATCGATTATTCCTCCACCTCTATTCCAAAACGTGTGACTGTCGCGCCCACGGACTATTAGAACTATTTAAACGTAGTTGAAACAGGAAATTGAAAAACTCATATTGCAAAATTATCGATTATTCCTCCACCTCTATTCCAAAACGTGTGACTGTCGCGCCCACGGACTATTAGAACTATTTAAACGTAATTGAAACAGGAAAATGAAAAACTCATATTGCAAAAATATCGATTATTCCTCCACCTCTATTCCAAAACGTGTGACTGTCGCGCCCACGGACTATTAGAACTATTTAAACGTAGTTGAAACAGGAAAATGAAAAACTCATATTGCAAAATTATCGATTATTCCTCCACCTCTATTCCAAAACGTGTGACTGTCGCGCCCACGGACTATTAGAACTATTTAAACGTAGTTGAAACAGGAAAATGAAAAACTCATATTGCAA